ATGTGTTTTCACTACATATACAGTACAGGTCGATGAAAATCGTGATGCAAAATTGACAAAAAATGTGTATTTCAAAATTCCTCAAAATTTATTTTTCTTTTTACCTTAATGCATCATATTGCATATCATTCGACTCGGCTGATGAAGAAGAACACAACGACACCATTTTTGAAGCTCTAGCTTCATTGTCTGTCGCGTTATCTGCAAAAACGTAGTTTGACCCTAGTTGACCTTAAGTGACATGACTGGCTTTGTCTATGATAACATGTTTATTTTCGAAATTTATCTTTGATCTAGGTGTAAACCAAACCTGCTCAGTACCTATTATCTCATGGAAAACAGTGGTTTAGTGGCATTGCTCTCGGTTGGGGGAAGCTTGGCCACTCGCCCGGGGTTACCCCAATGTGCTAATTTTTATTTTAGAACAGCGATATTCGAAAAAATGTCATACTTAAGCCAGTCTGCCTCGTCACCGCTCACTACAAACACTTAAATTCGTATAAATATTAGTACTGCATGGTATAACATTAACAGTGCAACATATCTCACTTTTTAGCTAAAAACCCTTAGAATATCATTTTTGCGCTATAACTTTAACAATATGCAATTTTTGTCAGCCTAACGTTTTTGCTGCCGTTACCTTAGCTGCCACGCTGAAAGGACAAACAGTTGAGCATTTTATTGTGAATAATTTAGCCGGAAACGGGGTGGCCGGGCTTCCCCCGCGCCCGGGCTTCCCCCGGCTTCCCCTATGTATCGTACGTATCAAATGTTCATATTTATTTTCGTTGTTTTGGAATTCAACAGTCATAAAAGATACGATTTTGTGCCATGGCAGTCTGGTGCTAAGGGATAATATTCAGTAATCATAATTATGCACAACACTCTTCAATTCATGAAACATGCTTGGTTCTGGATAGCAAATAACCATTAACAAAACAATCAGCAATTACAGGTATCGTATCACAAGTTATAAGCAAAATGATATTACTTCCAGGAGATAGTGTGCAACTTCCATCATCGCCCAACGAATTGCATTGCAGGGAGATAACTAATGCAGCTTACCGCTATCTTGAGATTTAAATAGGCTGAGTTGTATGTCAACAAACACATTTGACAAGTTTTAATGAGATCCTCTACGGATCATATGCACCGGTTTTAAATACATTTGCCTTACTTACAGTTGAAGTTCTATGGCTGAAACTAGCCAATTGACAGATGTTCAAACAACTCTAAATACGGGAAACAGCGTCAAAGAGAAAAGAAAACACTCATATCGCATATATACCGACCCATTGTCGGCAAGCTGTTTGTTGGCTTGGCAAAGTCAACTCGGTCACATGAGGAGGGCTCACTTTGCTGAGCGAGTCTGAGCGATCCGTGAGCGAGTCTGAGCGATCCGTGAGCGAGTCTGAGCGATCCGTGAGCGAGTCTGAGCGATCCGTGAGCGAGTCTGAGCGATACGTGAGCGAGGCTGAGCGATCAGCTGAGCAACGCCAGGCCAGTTAGCCAGGTCGGACGGTCATCTAGCTCGGCCTGCCGGCCGTGGGGGTCGGTGGAGCCAGGTCAGCCAGGTCTGTCGGTCAGCCAGGTCAGCCAGGTCTGTCGGTCAGCCAGGTCTGCTAGGTCTGACGGTCAGCAGGCCAGACGGTCAGCCAGCTCGAACTGCCGGCCGTGCAGAGAGTCGGTGGAGCCTCTCGGCGCTTAATCGGCTGTTGGGCACGGCCAGCGCGTTCGGCGCGGTTTAATTGGCCGGGCTGCTCTTCGAATGGTGCCCGTCACGCGCTGCCCGGCTCAGTGCAATGGGCGACCGGTGTAGGTCAGCTGCCTGCAGCCAGCCGCCGCGCCGCGCCGGTCAGCACCCGGGCTCAGCGCCTCGAGCCGCGGGCTGACCTGACCTGACCTGACCGGACCGGACCTGACTTGGTGACGTAACGGGACCTGGCGTGACTGGCATATATCTGAATGGGACCATATTTGCCATCCGTTATCTATTCATATGCGTCATTTACTATCTACTCGTAACATGTTGTGACTGGACATGGCATCTTCTTTTAATTTTGACTGATAACTAACGCAAATACGACATGAAAAATCACCCTTCCCTCAGCACCAAAAATCAGCAAAATTATATCGTTTTTTCCAAAAGAGAAATAAACCATATAGCCTTTAGTAAGAAAAGTGTGTTATTACCCGCACAGCACTGCAAAAGGAACCTGAATCCGAGGAGTTCTTTGGAACTTTGAGAAACTTGTTCGGTGGTATGCCCCATTCCCCGCAGCGTCCACGATCGCCTTTCTGGATCCGCCATTGGCAAAGAGTCATAATTAAAACTGCGATTTCATGAGGCCACGTTGATCAATACGAGTTTGCACATGTTGCATCATCGCTTGCTACAGATCCTCTATTTCACTCGCTTGTGATGCAGTCATGCCATGATTGGCGTCAAACATGCACACGGAACTTTACTCATTTTATTACCGGTGAAAATAAGCACATCTACACACCAATGAATCAATTGGGTGCGGAATGGTAGCCTAAAAAATATGACACGAATTAGCTCATGCCCTTCGTGATGGTCAAACGTATTATAACATGGTACATTTAAGCACATAAACAACTCAGACACTGAGAGCACTGGTTTTTAACATTCATAGCATAGTAAGTGGCAGACCAGAGGTGCTCCGACTGACTTGTTGGGGATGGATAATACGTCTCATGGGCTGATCAGACATGAACTCAATAGGATTGAAATTAGAATCAACACCAAGTGAAAAAAAAAATTGTCCAAAACAGCACTACTATGCAAAGTAGGGAGGCTGCCAGGTACAGTCCTTAATCCTGTGTTTACATTCACGTGTCGTTCACATTTTGTAACGCCAACAAACGCGAAAACAGTGCCCCACGCGAAAAGAGCTGCAGTACCTATAAATGTGTTTTTAATCGAGATATTATAATTTTTGGTAGGTACTTCATAGGAAGAGGTAAACTAAAACGTTGCAATCCCGTTTGTTTGCGGCTTTATCGGCACGATCTGTTTGCGGCACGAGCTATCGATCGTGGCTGTTGTTGAATGTTTCCTTTACATTTTTAGCTAGTCTCACAAGTTCCAGTCTATGTATGCTTCAATGTATGTCACTGTTCTTCAAAAAGTCTGTGACGGAAAAATAATGTGGTTTAGCTGAAGGAGATTTTTTCTCAGGTCAAAGATTAGAGACATGATAACGGCAAAGCTGAATACCAAGGAACATCGCAAAAGGTTCAGTAATTTCGAAGAAAATGACAACCGTCTGTGGTGACAGCTCCATCTAAGATAGGTACTACCCTGAGCTGGGATGCATCAGAAACTGAAATAGGTCCCATTGAGCCGGATATTGAATCTTGTCAATATCCTGCACGTAGGTGCGATAGGTGAAATTTCAGCGAACATCTGAGGAAATGGATGTTCGGTGGTAAGCTGCCTGCCAGTTTCAGTTCCCGCAGAGGCGCACAGTGACATCCCACATATGACGCGGCTATGGGACAGCCAGGCGGGGTAATGTGGAACGGAAGTGACGCTGATTTTACTTGATACCTATCATCGAAACGCAATCTTGGAATAGGACAGGAGTTCTACGCAAATATGTAACGTTTCGAAGATGTGATGACAAGGGACAGGTAGACAATTTGGTGACGCACCTTTTTCATACGGACACTGATATTATTCAACAAACCCTGCTCGCGATTCTGTAAAAACAAAATAGTATTTCTGCATGGTGTTTTCGTGCCTGCCTTACATAATTGAAACTGACAAATGGCGACGACGCTTTTTCAGTTCAGATGAAGAGATAGGAACCATTAATTAAAGGGACACTCCCACCTTAACATTAGTTTTGAGTTGAGATAGCCAAATTGGTGGCCATGGCCTGCAAATACCGGTTTGGGCACTCACAACATCGACAAATGTTTTAATTCGGAGATATGGAATTTCAAACTTGCAGTTTTCGGATTCTAAGGGGCTAGTGCATTGGTATGCCCCCTTAGAATTTGTGACGTCAGCGGAGATCTAACGATTTCTAAATCTTTTACTAAAACGTTTGGTAGCACGCAGTGGTATATGCTGCTTTGCGCGCAACAAATGCCGCACTTTCAAATAAAGTCGCTAGGAACAGCGGAGATCCCAAAAAGTAAACAAAAGTAAAAGTCTAATATCTTGAAAACCGGTGAATATTTTTCGATGAAATTTGGTAGATATTCGTTTTCGCTCTTTCTGAACCGAGCGACATCACTTTCGTGCCAATTCATTAACTTTTTTGAAGGTGGGAGGGTCCCTTTAACGTCGTAAGTAATTGGCTAAATGTATGTCAATATCGATAAAGACGCAAATAAACGAGATTGCAACGTTTTAGGTTACTTCTTCCTGCATTAGTTCGGGTTTAATTATTTTCAAACGCTTTGAATTATCGGAGTAAGTGTGTAAAACATATTAGACAGCTGGTAATGACAAGTGGGCACAAACTTTCATCTACATATAAGCACCTACCATTTTATTGTAGGTCTTGTCATTCACAAAGCTAATTAAAGCTCAGTATTTCAACGCAAAGCTACAGAGTAGCAAAAGTTGACATATATTCCATACGCTGCATTTCAAACCTACAAAACCTATAATTGCCGCTCCCAAATACCTAAACGTTGCTCTTCAAAAATGTATACCTATCAGTATCGGGAAGAATGGTGTGTTACATGGTCGCTAGTTAACAAAAAGAAATAGTAAAGCCCTGAGATATAAGCTGTGGCACGTAATGACTCGGTCCCAATGAACAACAATATTTGATAAAGCAGAGCAGCCAACAAATCAAGGCAAACGTAACCAAAAGTCAGGCCTCGGCTTAGTCACGATTTGTGTGGATGTCGTTGTACGCATAAATAAAATAAATAGAATAAATAAAAAATACTTTAAAGGAAAAGGGCCACCTTCGTGAAATATGAAGATATCGTTGTTTTTCATTTTGACATTATTATTTTTCATTTTCTTTTTAAAACTGGTGCCAGAAGTGCACAATTCGCGAAAAAGTATTTAAAACTATTTAACATATTGGTACTATGTTGATACTCTCTACGGCACCTACTGTATGATGGCATAGCGATGACGTCACACTCAAGCCAATCAGCGTTCAGAAGACAGACTCGTCGGATTGTGTCAGATAAGCTGATTGGTTAAAGCTGAGCTGGTTGGAGCTGATTGGTAAAAAACCAAAGCCTCGCCGCGGGTGGCTGTATTGTCGGATAAGAACGCATTCCTGGGATAAGGACGCATTCCTGGCGTATTTTCTTTTAAAATTGCCGATAACTAAGAATGGAGGCCGAAATCGGCCGTAAGGAGGTAAACAGATAGGTTTTCGGACACGGGCTACAAGATGGCTATCTCAGTTTCAATCCCCATGTTAAAGGTGGCCCTTTTCCTTTAACAAAAAATGACGCTTCGGTTCTGCGTGGGACATGTGCGACTGATTGTGGAAATAGATGCATGTCTGGCCATTCGGACAGCTCACAAATACCACGTTTGTCGTTGAAGCCGCGACACGGTCGGCTGGGTTTGAGCATATAACTTCAGCAACAACAGTTAACAGCAATACGTCAATACCGATCGTCGGGCCGACTCGGCGTCGCCACATCGTCCTCAGTTTCCTCGACAATGAGACGCGTCAATGCGCCCATTTCTCGGACACCGGCCGGAGAGCCGCGGCCGGGATCGGGCTCGAACGCCGGCGAGGTCCCCGATCAACACGGTCTGATGAGCCGCCCGGTAGGACACCAGCGACATACACACTGCACGTAGTCGGGCCGCGCCTCCGAGTGTGTCAGCGCTACGATAGCGCACTGCAGGCGACGACCCACACGACTGGTTGCACTGTGCTTCGTTTGTAGTAGGTCACATTTTGTCACCAAAGTAGGATGTCGCATTTGGACAGCAATCATTCGAGATACAACGGCGCTGCTGGGACCCGATACAGCCATACAACAGCGTTTCATTACACTCCGGGGCACAGTCAACAGCGAACGACAGCTGACGGTCAAGTGTCCATCACCGGGTGACGGCCGCGGCCCGGGCGACAGACGACCGGGTGACGGAGAGCCCGCCCGCGGACGGCGCTGGTCGCCGGGCGGCCCGTCGGCCGGGACCCCGAGGGCTCACACAGGCTCCCGGCCAACGGCGCCCGCCGACCCGACCCCGGTCAGCGCCCTGCGCCTGCTGACCCGACCCCGGTCATCCACAAACACAGGACCAGGCGGCACACCGCGCGGCCCGCTGCCCGGCCACCTGCTGACAATGAACACATGCACGACAGCGAACGGCCGCGTTCGGTGACGGGAGTCGTTGAGCGGTTTTCACGTCAATTGTCCAACGTTGCTCGGCTTGTGATGAAACCAGTCGCCTAGTACCTACCTTTCGCCCCTGGGGAGGAATGGTGTCGGAGGCGACAGCTCCAAAGTCCCACCATGCCGTCCCACAAATCCCACCATGGACTAGCAGTTTCACCTGACTAGACGTCCCATAAGAACGGGGCGAGATAAGTTCATCTGGGACTGGCTTGGTGTCACCGCGTGAACAATACTTCGGACCTAAAGCTCGCAAGATGACACTCTCAGACGACCGTCGAGCACATGAGAACGAGTCACGTGCTCTGAGCAGACCCGTCAGCAGCTGACTAGAGTTGAGTTTCGGCCGGCGCAGACTCGGGAGCCTCACCCCTCCTCGCAACTCCGCGGAGCTGGCAGAACTTTGCCGCCTCAACCAGAGATCTGTGGGCACGAGCGAGGTCATTAGACACAGGGAATACCGGAAAGTTGGCACGACCAAGGCGGTGGATACAGTGCCGAGCGCGTGTTGCTTGAGCATGCGCTCGTCAATTCAGTACAAGTTTGCAGACATTTTTAATAACGATGCAAGGTTAAATGCTTGTAAGGCACGGCAAACTGCAAAGGCATGCAACAGAGGGATCACTGTTCTGGTGATTTTTAGTGAGCAATGAAATGGTTCTATAACCACGTCGCTTATATTTTCTAACTCATTTAGTGTTGATGTTTTAGCTCTCTCCATCCTGTCCTGAATCTTTTAAAATATAGGACGCATTTCTTCGGGTAGCTGAGCGCATCATTGCATTGCATATTTCTTACTTTCTTACCAATGCTGAATGCAAATGTCACCCCCCCCCCCCCCCCATTGATCACGTCAGTCGAGCGAAGCCCAGTCCACAGTCCATAGCCCCAGCCATCGTTGGGAGGTGGCATAGTACCCCTGCTCTGCCCCAGTCTGCCCGCACTGCCCCCCCCCCCCCCCAGGACCCGCGTTCAGACAATAGCCGTTTTCACGACGGCCATCTGGTACACATTTGGTGCACATCTGATGCAGATTAGGTGCAGATTTGGCAAAATTAGGTTCAGTGTGTCTCTTGGTAGCTATCAGCTAGGGTTGCACTATTTGCTTATATGCCTGCTTTGTCATATTATCAGAGAGTACCATCGGTTAAAACACTGAAATAAATTCATAAAATAAAGATATTTGCTGTAAAAGAGATTAGTTGCAGATTTGGTCAAATCAGGTGCACTCGCCGTATAGCCCGTCGTGAAAACGGCTATTACCTACCGCCCGGTCACCGCTGCGTCCGCACGGCCGGGGCACCGTTGCCGGGCAGCGCGCCGCACTAAGCCCTCGGACCGAAGTGAGCCGGTCGACACTGAGTTATGGGTTTCCGGGGAGGACCTAAGTCAGCAGTGCCGTTCCGCGGAAAGCACCCGTTCGACGGATGCGATTCGCTCGGACAGACCGGCTGCTGTTATGGGAATGGTCAGGTCAGACCCGGCTAAAATATGGCCGAGAGGCAGAAAATGGATGTCGTATGTTGCAATAAACGATCTGCACGCAATCGGCTATATTCGCCAAATGCAGAACAGACGTATGAAAGCGACTTCTTCGTCTACCAATAGCCAGACACTTCCATTGTTTATATTGAGTTGAGCACATTTCTAGATATTTTCAGGCTTGTATTGTGTCGCGCATCACAGTTTTGACAGCGGCGTATTCAGTTCGGACAGCTATATGGTCGGATTCTTATTCTAATGTAACTCCGGCGGCAACTCTGTCACAGATCCATATGTGACGTCACTGGCTGGAAGCTCTCAGTTGATTGGCCCCCCGGAGCCGTGATATTTTCCGAACATGCCCGACCGTGTTGTGATAGCTGTCGACTCTCGGGGGGCGGCACCGGCGGCTGTCTGACCGCCAGTTAACTGTTTGGGTCGCCCGAGCCGGCGCGGCGACCCAGCGCTGATCTGCACAGGTCAGCTCAGCGCCAAATCAAACCGCACGGGACGCCGCCGGTCCCAGGGAGAGGCGCCGCTCTGATGGATCGTAAACAATCCGGCCTTTGTGGATCGGCGCGCGCGAAGGAGCCGTCTCAGCGGAGACGCCGGCCCTCGGCCACGGGAGACGCCGGCTCGATCGCCTGTGGAAACAACCGACACGCTTTGACGCGCTCACCAGACTAGCAATGGATAACATCAGGGGTTTGAGGCGTCAACAGTGGCGCTGCAAACCGGAACGAAATCTATTCGGCTTGGTGAGGCGTGACGGCTTTGTCAAACAGACGGAATCGGAGCACCGTCCAGATCCAGTGGGGATTTGGGGAAAGGCGCCAGCGCCAGGGACCGACAGTTGCCCAGTCGGGAAGTCATGAGTCATGACCCACCCATGACCCAGCCATGGTCGTCAGTACGTACCCGGCGCCCTAGCAGCGTCCGTGCCCACTCGAGCTGAGAGGGGACATTCTTCCGGCGCGGTGTCTAGAACAGCCGGGCGGGACCCCTCGCTTTCCGTGAGGCAATCATTGGTGTCACTAATTTTCACGAATACATTAAAGTAAGCAATTAGCATCATCATATGAGGAATAAATAACTAGGGAAGTGCATTCAATTCCATGTGCTATATGGAGCATATTGAATTCCTTACCGATGCAAAGACCATTTAAAAAATGATATGATAAGAACCAGGGCACTAGAGAGTCAAGAACCATCTCATCGCTACTCGCAATATCGTTCAACATGTTTTTAAATGGTGTCATTTGCTTTGTAAGAACGAGTAAGTATTCGAACTCCGTACGTTTGTAAGCATAGGCGCGGGAGCCGGGGGGGGGGGGGGGGGCAGTGGGGGCAGCTTGCCCCCCCAACTCTGTGGCCGTGGGGGCGGTGCCCCCACAGCTTTGAGACGGAATACCACACCTTTTTTGCAAATGTTTTCTTTTTTTGTTGAAAAAGCCGAGGGGTGAAAAATAAGTGGCCTAAAACCGGTGAGAAAACTAGATTTGGGGGTACCCTAGGTTAGTCTCTATTATGGTGTGCCCCCCCCCCCCCCCCCCCAGTCGGAAAGTAGTTCCCGCGCCCCTGTTTGTAAGTACTGCTAGCGACCAGAGATTATTTCGTTTTTAGGTCGGTAGCCAAGAGAGAATGAACCTACAGCAAAAACAATCGAACAATAGTGGAAATCGCAATGCTGGTTGGTGATCGGTGAAGATATTAGACAGGATTGGCGCAAAACCGTTAATAACTTTTCGAACTACGCAAGGAACACAATAAAATGTAATGTACTTGAGGCAGGCGCAGCAATAAGCTTCCACACGGCACTGTAATAAAGACTGCACACATGTAGTCTGTAGTGGGTAATCCATTTTGCTTTGGAAACAGACTGGAAATATGAGGAATATTCGAGCTTCAGCTTGACGTCATCAGCCAAAGAGCAAGGATGAAGTAGCAACAAGTTGACGACAATGCCCGTCTAATGGACGTAAGTACCCAGGCAAGAACGGGCAACCGGAAAATTGCCGTCTTGGCTACCTTTATTACACCTCCTGTTTCATCAGTTGATCAAATGTCTCTTATTGTAGCCCGTATATTGCAAACAGGCTAGCACAATGCGATACAGCTTTTTACAGAGACGAGAAACTGCGGGAGCAGCTCACAAGCGTAGCCCACATCTCTAGCATCAAAATTCAGTGTCCTTTTTCATTCTCCGCGATTCCAGCATCCATCCAGATACCTCATTTGGCCTACTGTCCAGCTAATAAATTCACTCAACCAACCAGTACCCTCATTCAGTCCACCATCCAGCTACCTCGCCGTATAGGGGCACTAGCCGCTAATTTACCCTAACCCTTTTGCTTGTAGAAGACATTTTGAATAATGACTTTGAACGTAATTATTTATGGTGTCCGGCTACTACAGGCGTATTCCATCAACCAAAAGGCGCGGAGATGCACGACCATCGTGGAGGGGTCAAAGCCTTGGGTCAAACCACAAAGAAACAGAATCCTGCCCTGTGGAATCCCGCTGCCGCCGTATAAACGAGTTCAGTTGTGGGCCCACATGACAAGAGCATTGTTTGAATTCAGATCAGTAGTTCGCCAATTATCCCAGTGACATCAAATCAAAATATGTTTCAAGAAGTAAGAAATGACGCGCACCAAAATTTAACCCGCGCATGACTGACGCCGCTGAAGGTACTGCACGTTTCGTGTTGATACGTCAAGCGGTTTAGGAGATATTGCAGAAAAACGGGAGGGCTCTGTAGAGCCCCCCCCCCCCAGTCATGCGCGGGTTAACCTTTACCGTCTGAAAGATCGTCACCTTGATATGAATATCATATTTCTCGCTCATCTCCCCGGAACCCGTGGATGGATCAGGCTGACTTTTGAGCATTGTGTGTTCATTCTCAGCGGCGACTAACTATGCATTTAATGATGTTCTTATGCATATATATGACAAACATCAGCTCGCTTTTGCGATTTAATGAGCAGCGCTATATCGTATGCCTCAAAAGTTGTTTCGCTGTTCAAACGCAGCAGCAAAAGTTGTTCACCGCCTGCTTAGTTTTCGGCGCAGGTTGGGCGAGTTCCCTGGAGAGCCGCGGACCGGCCACCTTAGTGTGCGCCCGCGGGCGTCGGGCAGAACGAGACCACGCTTGCAGTGGCACAGCCTCATCGCCCCGACACGGGTTTCTCAATGATTGAATTATACCGCCCACAGCACGGGCGAACTCAGAAGATACTCAAGAAACAGGACACCGCTGCCAGCGATGAGGACGTTCAATGGCAACAGCTGCTACGGACGCAGGCAGGACGTGGTTTCAATGAGGATGACAGACCCTGTCCTAGCCAGCTTTCCAAAAATAGCGTTGTTTTATGGATGAATCACGGCGCCCACAAAGAAGCGTTTTCTTATGCCGCGTGTTTTGCCTCTTTCTCCGGCGGCGGCGCGAAGCTGCGAACGGAATGCTGGCACATGAGGACGCGCTAATGGACGGCCCCGGTAACAACAGTTGTCAGAATGATAAACGATCACGTGACAGAGCTCGTTCGCATGACACCGGTCACGGCACAGATGTAAGCTGATAAATTACTATCAGTTATCGTGTACATACCAGAGAAAAACATCGATCAGAACTGCTGTTCTGTTTAACAATCGCCGGACGCAGTTATCAATTTTATACATGTGCCCCAGCCGAGGGTACTCCCCACTCCCCACCCCACTCATCCCTTATTGCGCTAGAGCTTCAGAAAAGGAACGTATTGGGCGTTTGCTATGCGGTGATTACTGATAATTAACCAGTTTTAAGGCGTCAGGTCAGTCGATACCTCAGAGCTCAGCACTCAGCAGAGATTGGGTTTCCCCGCCCAGGAAGAAAAGATCCTACGCCCTATAATTAATAATTCGATCGGTAACACCCAACTGACGCTTAGGTATTAGTCCTGTCGACGTGCCGGGTGATTATCAGTAATTGTTGGTATTCAACCTGCCACAGATAAAACACTGCTTCTCGTGCCACCGTCTCTGAAACGGGCTTATCAGGAGCTATGGCCCTCGCATCCACACCATTTAACTGCAATGGGCTATGTGCATCGATACCTCGAGCGATCCTCTTAATGAAATGACCAATACCCCTCGAAGCTGATTACGACGGCTGCCGGAAGTTGTGTAAATGCATCTTCAACGCTCCGGCCCGAAACGATTCTCTCTTTTGTTGGGTAAAATTCTTATGAACCCGCGACCAGCTGGAGGGGGGGGGGGGGGGCAGAATCTTCCCCCTCCCGAAGTTTGCCAATACCTTCTAGACGCTTTCAGCCAGATACATCCAACTTTCAGTACTTACATGTGTCATTTATTTAATTTGACGTATTTGAGGAAGTATTAAACGACATCCGTTGGAAATATTTGAAAAAATTGCCTTTAAGTGCCATTTTTTACCTTTACGCCATTTTCAGTCATAAAAAAACTCGAAAACTTCCAGCGAGTGTAAGATCTTCAGTTTTTAAAGAAACAAGGCGTAAAAAAAGGTGGAGATTTGTGCCGATCTGGTGGTGCCCGAGCTCTTCCAATTCCACGCCGGCTTGGGGGCCTTGAAGTCGCAACGGACAGCGGAGGCCAAGGTCACCGCTAGGGCGGCGACGGATTTGATGCGCCCGAGCACCCCCTTGGCACAAAGTTCCACTTCCACCTATGAAAATGGTGTATGTGATTTTACTCTTTTTTAAATGCTAACTATTTCGTTTTTTCTTTAATTTTGAATTTTATCCGATTTATGAATATACAATTCTGTGAATCTCCATGTTCCGTTATGCGTCATATCATGTTGTCACTTCTAGCTTGCAAATATCAAATAAATAAAACATTTCGCCTTGGACAACAGCATGCATTGCATACATTCATCTCAAGCAGTTGATGGGCGCTAGCTTTGCCATGCCACACAAAAAGCGACAAGCATAACACAGCGAAAGTAATGGATGACTGGTCCGGCACAAAAAGATCTGAGCTGCTCTGGGGGCCATTCATCACAGACTGACATGAGATTTGGGGCTATCGATAGAAAGCAATAATGCGGTGCGGCTTCACATTTTGCGCTGCAGATAAATACGGAACTGATTTATGGCGATCTCGTCAGTGTGACGGGATCTATCTCCTTATAGTCTTTGCTAAAAATGTTGGGTTTCGATGCTGGTTGTACGGCAAACTTTTTTACCCACGCCTCGGTGGACGGGTGGCGTTTTCGCATCCCGTCACTCTTGTTAATGGCCGCCCCACACTGGACCTCGCATGCGGGTTGCGAGTTTTTGGGTTTTCGGGTTTCTTAAAAATTAAATAATACAATCTAAGCTGCGTGACCCACACTACCATCTAACAAGCGAGTCTGCATGTTTTTAGCTTGCGAGCCACCTTGCATCGCATTCCAAAAGCTTATTTTGAGTCAACTTTCGACTTTCCTCGCTGCAAGGTCTGCGAGTTCTGCGAGGTTTGCGGGTTTTTCGTTGGAGTCGAATTTTGGTTCGTTGCACTGGTATTGCGACTATATGTAATTTTCTGAAGGTGTACCGGCTTCACTGCATTCATGCAGTTACCATAAGGGTAACAGTCTAACAGTCTAATAACTCTATGAACTAGTATTATGCCCGCAAACACAAAACCCGCAAACTCGCAACCCGCATGCGAGGTCCAGTGTGGGGCGGCCAGTGCGCGGAGTCGGTGTTCCACAGTAATTAGGAGCCGTTCAAGTCGGTTGCATTTATTGAATCTATGTATATTCATCGAGATTTAGCGAGCAGGTAATACTTGAAACTTCCAGTAATTTTGTGTACTTAAGAGCACTTTTCATAATGCCCGCCTGCGGGCACGAGCAGGCGAATAATGAGCTTTCTACTGCCTCGTTAGCTTTGTTTCGAATAGTGACCGAGCCGCTCGTTAGCTTATGTTTTGAAATAGTCAGACAAATTGCTGTATGAAATAATGTAAGGACAAATCCTGCCACAAAAACAAGTGAATCTTTTAAGTTGCTGCTTTAAAATGGAACCAAAAAATGTTTAATTATCAATTATTTCACTGATAGCAATTTCTTCTGAAAACTTTATAAGCTTTAACGATGCATACTAAGTCAAGTATTTCAACTTTACCAGTCGTCATTTGGTTGGTGATTGGGATGCAGTGCAAACATTAAATTCGAGCAGAGGCATGCAAGTGAAAAGCAACTGTGTGAATGACTAGTTCTATACAGTATACGCATTTTACTACAGCCTACCTCACCCCGCCCGTTTGTCTCACCTGTGTGTAATGTGCGGAGGCCTCGGACCACGTCCTCACAAGTGGTGCAGCGGTATGTCGCCGCGACTGTCGCGGGTGATCTGCGTCTCCTGCGTGTCGTAGCCGCCCTGGCTCCTGCCGGTGGCCTGGCTGGCCACCAGCAGCAGCCCCTGAGACCGTTCGGCGGCCGTCGTCTCGGTGCCGCCGCCGCGCCGCCACGCGCACGGGCAGACCCGCTGCAGCAGCTCCACAAACTCCTTCCGGAAGTTGTCGTTGAGCCAGCCGTAGAGGATGGGGTTGGAGCAGGCGGACGACATGCCGACCATGTGGCAGACGGCGTACACCACGCGTGTGCTCTCCACGGCGCTGCTGTCGCGCACCGCCAGCAGGTCGTACACCAGGTTGCAGACGTTCAGCGGAATCCACGAGACGGCGTAGATGAGCGAGATGGCGATCAGCAGGGTGTTGGTGCGACGCGTGCGCTGCTCCCGGCCGTCGCGCACACTCGCCGTCCGGCTGGCCATCGAGGACATGCGGAAGCGCAGCTTGCGCGTGATGCCGGCGTAGGCGATGCTGACGGTGATGATGGGCACCACGTACTGGCAGAGGATGCTGAAGAGCGAGTAGTAGGCGCGGCCGCGCTCCAGCGACCAGTCCTCGATGCAGTAGTCGATGGCGTCCGGCAGTCCGGGCAGCGACTGGTTGAGCGGGTGGTGCTCCAGACGCCGCACCACGAACAGCGGCGAGGCGAGCAGCACGGCCAGCGTCCACACGCCGGCCAGGATGATGCACACCTCGGCCAGCTGCAGGCTCTTGCGCGTCGGGTAGACGATCACCTGGTAGCGGTCGAGCGCGATGGCCGTGATCGAGAGCGACGAGACGAACACCGAGACGCCCTCCAGGCCGCCGAACAGCTTGCAGAGGAATGCCGTGTCGCCGCCCAGCGGCCAGTAGCGCGACAGGATCTCCATCAGCGTCAGCGGCATCGTGATCAGGCAGAGGATCAGGTCGGAGACGGCCAGGTTCAGGATGAACATGTTGCGCGCCGTCTTCATGGCCGCCTTGCGCAGCACGGCCGTCACCACCAGGCCGTTGCCGATGGCGCCGAAGCAGATGAGGTGGGCGTAGAGCACGATCAGCGCGTAGTAGGCACCGTCGCTGACGCTGCGGTTCATGCTGATCCGCTCCAGGAACGCGTCGTCCACGTGGCTGTTGTGTATCCGCTCGGCGAGCCGGCGCACCTCGGCCAGTACCGTGGCCTCGTCTCCGGCGACGTACTGTCCGAGCGCGGCCAGGTCGCAGCCGGCCGAGCTGTTCCACACCATGGGGCACTTCTCGCGGAACAGAGCCGTCGGCAGGCCGTGCAGCGGGCTGCCGGAGGTGGCGTTGTCGGCCGCCAGCTCGGGCGCCGCCGTCATCGCCGCCGCTCCCGGAGCGCCGGCCATGTCCGCCGCTGTCGTCCCCGCTCGGAGCGGCGCCGCCACTGACCGGTGCCGTCCAACCGCGCAGCGCGGGCCCGCCCGGCCGACTGTCTCCGCTGCCGCTGGCGCACCGACGGCCGCCCTCCGACCCACCTGGAACGGCAGAGCGGAGTTCAGGGACTCGGCGGGCCCACACGCCGGCCACAGCGCCGGATACGCCGACATATGATAGGTCGATCGGGGGCGGATGTACCAAGTAAACGCAGAAGACCAAAGTAGAATTAAATGTTACATAACCACAACTTCTTAGAGTAACAGGAGCTCAACCATGCCTCTATCAGATAGCAAGCTTTTTTGTCCCAACCATCAAATTGCATGCCTCATACTTCAGCGAGTCGAACGTTGACTCGTTGGGCACAAAATCAATAAACGGCCAATCCAGAGCCGGAAGGAATTAAGAATTACTATCATTTACTGCCGGTAAGCACGGTCATTTAGTTAAAAATAACAATACGCTATCTTATATGCTTAATACGAGTATACGTTAATTTCGAGCACTGCATGACACCTTTCATGACGCCTGACATTCGCCGGTGATTAGGGGAACAGCTAAACAGATCCTCTTCCTCTGTCTATAGTCTGCACCATTATTTGTTGCCATGTATGGCTTGGTATGACGCGCGTGCTTGTGGATATTTTATTACGATGTTCGCCCCTACGATGTTGATCGCGCGCTCCTTCCCGGGCGCGAGCCGGAAGGAAAGTCCGCTGTTTTGTCTGCCCATTTATTATGCCCGCTAGGGACTCGGCGGCAAAGTGTTCAACAGGCTGCTACATTACGCTACTTGGATGCGAGGCTCGGGGGCGGGTGAAGTTTGGCTGTCCGGGGCTGAGCCCGACAGGGCTGCTGATTGACGAGACAGCCCAGCCGGCCGGGCTTTCCAATGCAATCAGCGGATCAGGGAGCTCGCTCGATGCTGAACTGGAGAAATTCTACCTGAGCTGCCGTGCTGGCAAAAGTATTGCTCAGGCCTCAGCTGCCAACTCTATCGCAGTTGGTCGGCACACGAGACATGTCCTTTTTAATCTGTTTTCATTGTAAGGCTAAATGTATTTTGGCTTTGTTGCTGAGATAGCATCAGCTTGCATATATTAAATACCTATGAATCGTTTCCTTTTAATTTTCAGCATAACATGGACAACAGCCGTGCCATAAATATTCTGCTGCTTTGAAATATGGAAAAACAGATAATGAATTAAGGTAATGTTTCAGAAATATAAATGAAATGTAATTCCTAGACACGGGTACCCGCTGTGCTTGAAATTGCAGGCAGTCACTGATTTTGTTTATGCAAAGACAGCAATCCAGTAAAACTCTAACAGTCTGAAAAATAAATAGGACAGACAGAACAGAACTATAATTGTTTGAAAACTTCAACACAAGAATAGAGCTTCGCGGCGCCGATACGGAGGTCTGCTGCCACGTGACTGCAGCACGCCGCTCGTGCCGCGGTCTGCGCCCTCTGCCAGTTGCCATGACCCCGGAGCCGTGCAGGCTGGTCTCTCTCGGACACTTACCGGCGGTGATTGGTGCCGACAGTCGGTGCGTCTGGCTTATTAGACGGCGCCGCGGCGGCCGGCATTATTTACTGTACTTTTACAGCCACACAGACACAGACACACAGACACAGACACACAGACACAGACACACAGACACAGACACACAGACACAGACACACAGACACAGACACACAGACACAGACACACAGACACAGACACACAGACACAGACACACAGACACAGACACACAGACACAGACACAGACACACAGACACACACACAGACACAGACACAGACACAGACACACAGACACAGACACACAGACACAGACACACAGACACAGACACACAGACACAGACACACAGACACAGACACACAGACACAGACACACAGACACAGACACACAGACACAGACACACAGACACAGACACACAGACACAGACACACAGACACAGACACACAGACACAGACACACAGACACAGACACACAGACACAGACACACAGACACAGACACACAGACACAGACACACAGACACAGACACAGACACACAGACACAGACACACACACAGACACAGACACACAGACACACAGACACAGACACAGACACACAGACACAGACACAGACACACAGACACAGACACAGACACACAGACACACAGACACAGACACAGACACACATACACAGACACAGACACAGACACACAGACACAGACACAGACACAGACACACAGACACACAGACACAGACACACAGACACAGACACACAGACACAGACACACAGACACAGACACACAGACACAGACACACAGACACAGACACACAGACACAGACACACAGACACAGACACACAGACACAGACACACAGACACAGACACACAGACACAGACACACAGACACGGACACAGACACGGACACACAGACACGGACACACAGACACAGACACACAGACACGGACACACAGACACAGACACACAGACACAGACACACAGACACAGACACACAGACACAGACACACAGACACAGACACACAGACACAGACACACAGACACAGACACACAGACACAGACACACAGACACAGACACACAGACACAGACACACAGACACAGACACACAGACACAGACACACAGACACAGACACACAGACACAGACACACAGACACAGACACACAGACACAGACACACAGACACAGACACACAGACACACAGACACAGACACACAGACACAGACACACAGACACAGACACAAAGGCACAGACACACAGACACACAGACACAGACACACAGACACAGACAGAGACACACAAACACACAGACACAGACACAGACACACAGACACACAGACACAGACACACAGACACACAGACACAGACACACAGACACAGACACACAGACACAGACACAGACACACAGACAGACCGCGCAAACAGACACACAGACACAGACACACATACACAGACACACAGACACACACAGACACAGACACACAGACAGAGACGGCAGACAGAGTGCAGAGAGAGGAGCGCCAAGCAATGGCCAACTGGTTACCGGCGATCGCTGTACTAATTATCCGAATCTAGCCACGGTTGGTGACCACCGCAGCGGCCTGCCGTAACCAGGGTCTGGTGGGGTATTCCCCGAGCCTGCACACGGTGTGACTCTTCTTTCTGCCCCTGCTGGGATGGGACTGCTAGTGCACTAGCAGTCCCAGGTGGTGTGGGTGCGCACTGTACAGTTGGTTGGGGGTCGTGATCCCCAAAGGACCAAAATGTAATAAAACTTGAAAAGCTGTAAATGAGGCAGTCTGACCGTTATCTAAGATACCCTTTTAACTGACACCGACGATGCATATTCGATTTACTTTTGGATTAGATTTTAGCCTACGCGCACTCATACATATATGTAACATCTACACCACGACAACACGGGTCGTTATTACACAATCTCATCAATTCCAGGATGAAATTCTGGGATGATGAAACTTTTGGGAAAAGTAGCCGGCGGATGTTGATACCAGCTCCACATACGGCGTCAATTTGCTAACATTCAACGCCCTCCCCATCTCTTAAGCCTGCCAATCCTCCCAACTCAAGTGAGGATCTTGCCAGGTTCAAGTCTTACGTCAACGTTGATATTACCATTACCCGTGGAAACACAAATACCTAACCAAATTCACGACAATGATGAAACCGATCCAATATTTTTGTTCGGTGACTTTTACGCAGTTAAGGAACTAGATTTAAAATAGTTACACCATATATGTACATAGTCACACAGTCTCAGATATCAATGAAATATCTACTAAACTATCACCCTAGAACTCTGCAGTCTGCAACATCTGTATGGTCCTGTAAACTGTATCACTTTTTCATAGCGAAGCATCAACCACGTGGAAGCTGTTGATATAAACACACGAGTGGAGCTAGAATGATGAGAATAAATTACCTATCCTCCCCTTGTTACCAACATCTTCTATCAACCTGTGCCTATTCTTTCTCCGAGCCGTCAGACCGTTCCTTCCGACCTGACCTGACAGCATTGCCCTTTTAGACAATGTTGCATTTATATTGAGAGTAAAATTCTATTAAATTGCAAATCAAAGCACCGGCGCCGGGTAATCCAATCAGTTGAACAAAGCTGGCCGGACGACAGTCGGCTCCGGAAGGCACCTGGCTCACTCAGCCGACTTCAATTCTGTGCGGTCTCAGCGCAAGCCGCGGCTCTCCGGTCTTACCTCGGGGCTTAACGTTACCGTGCCGCGCAACTAGCGGTCAGATGGGGTCGGAAGCACGGACAATTCAGCTGTCGACGCCGCAATTACTTACAAAAATGTTACCGGCAGCCCATTCCTTATTGATCTGATTCTGACCCCAGAACTCAGCAGCATAGATAGTCATGCAAGAAGCATGGATTGACGATAAAGGAAATAAAGACATCCTACAAGCCGCGCATAACGTGAGCATGTAGCACAGTGTGCCAGGGCAGCAACGGGCGGCTGTGTGATACTGTTTGAATAGAAAGGCGATGCGGCCGAACGGTGTATGTGGAATAACATTTGTGTTGAAAGGGAGACTGGCGATGGTGAACGACCCAGCTGCTGTGCGGTGTAGCAACCGGCTGCCGAACTGCGCGACAATCCGCCGTACGGGGAAGCTGTTGGAGTCAATTGCACACCTTTCGAACAGGATGGGACGCGGCGATTTAGAAGTTCGAGTACACTGCAATACACTCGTAAATGAAATGCTGTAACTTTTTCATGCGCTTCCCAGATGCAATCTCGGTATAGTTAGATGAGGGGGCAGTACTGAATGCTGGTAGAGCTAGGTTTTGGCTTTCATCCTGGCTGAAAAATTAAGCTGTATTTATTGTGTCGTTCAGGAAACTTTTCCCACCATTTCGTTTTCAAAAGCGTCGATTTGTGGTAAACATCCAGACATGTAAGTTTGGCCAAGAGCATTATATATGCTCAAACAACAAGGTGGGCTGAGGACTAAAGTTCAGTCAGTTCCAATAAATGTTATGCATCAAGATATTCTACGAACGACTGCAATTCATTGTGTTTCAATTATGTATGTGTTGGTAGACGT